CCTCTGCTCTTCTCCATCGCTCTCAACAGCACTGCACAAACTATATATTTTACATTTTTAATGAGGTCTGTTTCTCTAACCAGCTAGGATGTGAGCCCACAAGGGCCAGATTTTGTCTGTTCGCTGCCGAGTCCCCAGATGCCGTAACAATGCCTGGCTCAGAGCCCGTGCACAGAATGAATGGATAAATGAATGGACGGATGGATGAAGGGGCTTTTTATCCATCGCTGACTTTCTGTCTCTTGTTTGTATCTCTTGTGCATGTTCTTTGCCTCTTCGTTGCTTGCCCGGGTCTCTCATCCCTCAGCATTTTTCTGCACCTGTCTGTGAGTCACTCACCAGAAAAACATCTCTCCCTGGTCCTCCGTATCATCAGGCACTCTTAACCCCCACACGGGACCTCGGGACGTGACAGGCCCGTGATGAACACCTGCTGAACTGACACCGAGTGACTGAAAGTCCTCGTCTGTCCTCACGCCTCTGGGAGGAGCTATCTGCCATTTTTATTCTGAATCTCCAAGACCGTTTTGGTCCCTGCCTCAGTTTTCCCCTCTGTTTTCCTGCTTCTCAGTCAGCCATCCCTCACCTTCTATATGCAGGAGGCGGTGGGACAAAATGGTCATTAACCTGAGTGCAGACTGCCAAGGCCTGAATCTCGGAGAGCTGAGTGACCCTGGGCACTCGGTCACTGTCATCCGTCCACCCACCCATCCATTCCTTCCACAAACACGGACGTCAGGGGCGCCAACACTGCCAGGCGGTGCGGGTCCGTCCTGCCCGTCTGCTGCTGAGTTTCCGCAAGTCTCTCCCCCCTCAGGTCTCTGTCGTTTTCTCTCCCAGAGCAGAGTGCTCTGTGTCTCCCTGTCCCTGCACCGCCCTGTGTCTGTCAGCCACTGAGCACTGACCACACAGCAGCGCTGTGCTGGGAGACGCCAAGGACACAGTGGCCACCCAAACGCCTTGGCCCCGCCCTCACGGTGCTCCTAGGTCCTCTCATCACCAGACAGTAACAGACCCCGAAGCAGACAGAGGGGTCGGGGTGGGACGGGGGTGCCCAGGGGCTTGTGACAGTGCCGAGGAGGTGCCCTGTGCGTGCAGCACGGGCTCAGGCCCAGAGCAGCCATTTGGTAGCTGTGTGGTGACCGACGGACCCTCTGTGAGCAGGTGTGGCACTGCCACCCTCCGCCCCCGCTCAGGTCCTCTCCTACGCTTCACATGAGATCTGTCAGCACATCCTGTCGTCTCCAGCTCTGAAATCTCCCCAGACCCACCTGGGCCCCTGCTCCCACTACCCCGTCTCCGTCCCGGCCGCCCACGGCTCCCTCCTGGACCGGTGCGGTCACCCCTCACCGTCTTCCCTCTTCTGCCCCATCACAGTCGGCCGCCCTCTCAGCCAGAGCGTCCAGGGCTGGGGAAAGCTGGGAGGAGACGGGAGCAGGCGACACCGCTACCCCAGGGCAGCCCCTCACCTTGACCCTGAAGGGGCAGCGGGCCTGGTCCACCAGCATGATGTTCTCGGGCTTGAGATCGGCGTGGATGATGGCCAGCTCTTTGAGGCGGGCCAGCGCCCTGAGCACCTGCAGGGTGACCGTGCGGATGTGGCGGGCAGGGAGGGGTGCGAAGTTGTTCTCCTTCTGGAACTCGAAGAGATTTTGCTCCAGCAGCTCGAAAACCAGGTAGAACTTGAGGGCGTCGTGGAAGAACTCGAGGAAGCGGATGACGTGCGCCTCCTCGGGGTCCAGGCCCCGCATGCAGTGCAGCAGCTTCAGCTCGTTCTTGATGATGCGGTTGCGGTAGGCGTCGTTCTTCAGGATCTTGATGGCCACCATCTCGCCCGTGCTTCGCCTCCAGCCCTTCGCCACCTCCCCGAAGGTGCCCTTGCCTAGCACCTCGATGATGTCGTAACAGTCCGTCTCCGACTGAATGGTGGCCATGGTGCCCCTGCCACCACCTCCGCCCCACGGGCTCTGCCTTCGAGGCCTCTCCGACCCCCTCTGGAGCCCACCCCAAGGTACCCTCAGTGGGGGAAGAGAACCGCACTCGTGCCCACCCCTGTGAGGTTTGCCCTTGTCTCCCGGGCACCCCCCAGCCCCTGGGCCACGCGGGGAATATGCCAGTGGTCGCACCCCTCCCCCAAAGCCCTCCTGGCTTGGGACAAGGGGCCCCGGGCCCCCCCAAATGGGTTCTAGCGTTGCTGAGTAGCTCTGGTTCTGTTGTTGGAGACCTGAGCCCCTGCCTGGAATGGGGGGTGGGGTGGCAGTGCAAGCCCCCCTCCCCCATCCAGTGGCGGAACCCTGAAGAGGTCAGACAGGGAAAGGGTCCACAGAGAGGGGCATCGATGGGGGGCCTCAGGCACAAGTATGGAGCAGTCCCAAGAAGAGGTGAGGAAAGACCGGCTTCCCGAACGAGGGAGATGAGTGTGTGTGTGTGTGTGTGTGTGTGTGTGTGTGTGTGTGTGTGTGAATTCCCAGAAAACACCTGTCCTAGCCTGTGGCTGACATGAGGGAAGGTGTGGCTGAGGCAGATCTGGGTTTGGAAAAGGTCTTGAATGACAAGCAAAGGCCTTTGGAATTGTTCTGAGGGCACTGGGGAGCAAGGGAGGGAGGGGTCCGATTCGAGTGCCAGAAAGTTACTCTGTGAAGAAGGGTGAATGAGAGGGGGGGAGAGTAGAGGCCTTGAGTCCGCAGCAGGGCCCAGGCGGGAGAGGTTGGGGAGAAGCGGAGGAGGCTCGTGGATGAGACATTTAGGAGGCCAGGCAGAGGGGGAGAGAGGGAGCTGCCCGGGACGAGGTGGGACGGCCCCCGAGACACGGACAGGAACGGGAACACTCGGGGAGCGGATGCTGAGGTCGAGCTGTTTAGCACTGAAACATCTAACACACACCGAGTGCTCCGGAAGCCTTGTCTGGCCCTGGCTGGTGGCTCTGCTGGTTCGCGCGCCATCCTGATATGCCGAGAAGGCTGTGGGATGGATCCCCCGCCGGGGCGCACGCAAGAGTAAACCAAGGAATACAGAAGTATACCTAAGTGCAACAACATATTGATGTTTCTCTCTCTCTCCCTCAAAATCAATGAATTTCAAGATGATTTAAAAAAAGAAGCCTTATGCCCTGGCTGGTGTAGCTCAGTGGATTGAGCGCAGGCCTGCGAACCACACGATTGCGGTTCGATTCCCAGTCAGGGCACATGCCTGGGTTGCAGGCTGGTTCCCTGCAGGCCAGTTCCCAGCAGGGGATGCAAGAAAGGCAACCATACATTGATGTTTCTCTCCCTCTCTCCTTCCCTTCCCCTCTAAAGATAAATAATAAAATAAAGTAAAATAAAAAGAAGCCTTATCTGATCCTTAGGACATGCCTTTTAATAGTTCCATTTAATAGATGAAAAAATCAGGACACAAAAGTTTGTATTTATTTATTTATTTTATCTGCACCCAAGGACATTTTTTCATTGCTTTTAGAGAGAGAGGGAGGCGGCGAGAGAGAGAAAAAAAAAACCATCGATGTGAGAGAGAACCCTTGATCGGTTGCCTCCCGCATGCGCCCCGACCGGGAAAAGAACCTGCAACCTTTTGGTTACAGAGTGATGCTCCAGCCAACTCCACCTCACCAGCCAGGGCAAGGCACGAATGTTCTTTAAAGTTGGGAGCCAGAGACAGGCTTTGCCTGTGATTAGTCTGGCTCCAGAGCCAACCTCTGCACCAACCGCCCCCCCCCCTCCCGCGCACACACACATACACATCTTCCTAATGTCCTGGAGGTGTCCAGGGGAGGCACGCAGAGGCCACTGGATCCTCTCACGGACACAGGGAAGAATTTGGGAATTGTCGTCACCCAGAGGCGAGGAGTGGGAACTTTGGAGAGGGTGACAGGTGCGCAGTGGGTCTGGAAGCAGAGGAAGCCTGGGGTGTGGAGAGAGGAGCGTTCGGGACGGAGAAAGAGGTCCTGGGAAGTCAGGACCAGGGAGACAGAGGACACCCTCGTCGTGACCACAGAGGGGTCACTTTGGACACTGGACAGACAGGTCAGGTTAGCGGTGGTGGGAGGAAACCAGCAAACGCTGGGGGTCTGGTCCAGGGCGATGGGCCGTGCGGGCAGATAATTCCTGCCACGTCTGGCAGGGACAAAGAGGAAGCGTGTGGCCGGGTGGGGACCTGAGGGGGCTGGCTTGAAGGGAGGCGTTGTCAGCATAAGTGGGGGTGGGTGACAACTCAAGGGCATGGCCCTTCATCCTGAACAATGGGAGGAGTGGAGATGTAGATAGGGGGCCATGAGGGGGTGATCTGGAACTGGACAGCAGGTCTTCTCAGTCCAGTCTGGGATGTGGCAGAGATGTGTGTGTGTGTGTGTGTGTGTGTGTGTGTGTGTGTGTCTGGGGCGGGTGCGCTGGACGCCCTGGCCTTGTGCTTAGGGGCGTAAACCTGGGGTGAGGTTGGGTCCCTGAGAGCCAAGGCTGGGCACCAGGGACCCAGGCCTAAGAGGACGCCACATGTCTGGAGTAGAGGCTCTGAACCCACGATCTGATCTGATCTGGGAGAGCCAGGAGGGGCCTTCCTGGGTGGGGCCGGGCGGACGGGGCAGTCAAACCAGCCAGACAGAAAAGAACGGCCAGGACGTGGAGATGCCCTTGTTGGTGAGTGGCCAGCAGAGGGCAGGTGGGCAGCGAGCGATCAGTCTGTTCTCTTAGGGCCCTTGGGACTGTCCTGGCGAGTGCAGGGTTCCCCAGGACAAGTGTACCGCCTCTGTGCTCTGCTGGGGAACGTCCCAGGTCCCGCTCCGAGGCCCCTGGGATTCCTGAAGGGCTAGGGCAGGCCCCAAGGCCTCCCTGACTCTCCGCAGTCCGGGGCTGGCCTGGGTCCCAGCACAGGCTTCCTTGGGGCCAGGCTCAAGTCGCCCTCCTTCCTTCCCAGGGGTTTTTTTCTCTGCAGCCTCCCTTACTCCCCCCATATACAGAGGACACTGGACACGAGGCTACCCCTGGATTATTTATTCACATGGCCTGGCAAGACACAGGCACTCTCGCCGAGCCGCCTCGAGGCCTCCCGGCCCTCCCCCAACAGTCACCTCCTCCCCGGCCCTCTGAGGGTTAGTGCTGGTTACTTCACACACAAAACAAGGGGTGGGGATGGGAAGACAGGAGCGGAGTCCCCCTCTGCCCAGGAGCTTCAGATGGCCGCAGTCTGAACCCCTTCCATCCTGGCCGGGCCTGGAGCCCCCGCCTCCGTGAACCCCACGCTGGGCAGTCGGACCCGGAATCCGCCCTCTTCCCGGTCCCTGCTCCCACTCCGAGCCTTGGGGCTCAGGGACACCCTGGGGAAACGGAACTTGGGGGACTTGGAGGCTGCCTCACCCTCCTGCCCCCGAGAGGCCTTGGAGGAAGTGGAGAGGCCCACACGGGGCAAGCGAACTCGGAGGCGGCCTCGGCGACCAGAGGCCCCTTCTCCACCCCCCTCCTCTTCCTCCTCCTCCTCGGGGCTCGGGGAGCCCTCACCAGTGACAGCCTCGCTCTGGCTGAAGCCCACACGGGGCAGTCTGAGTTTCGGGCTCTTGGCCTTGTCGCCCTCCTCAGCCCCCTCCCTGGCCCGCACCAGGCCGAGCCGGGGCAGCCGCACCTTGAGCTTGGGTCCCGCCTCCCCCTCGCCCTCCACCACCTGGTACTCGGCGTGGCTGCCCACGGCGGGCGGCGCGATCTCCACGTCGGGCAGTGAGAGGTGGAAGGTGCGTTGGACCCCTGCAGGCTGGTCCCCAGGTCCCTCAATGCCAGCGCCAGCTCTGGCCCCCAGTGAGGGCATCTTCAGCTTTAGCCCACCTTCGCCCGTGACTGCCTCGCCCACCTGTGCCTCCCGGTGCAGCCCCACGTCCAGCTCAAGCTGGGGCACGGACACGGCAGGCATCTTGAAGACACCCTCTCCCACCAACAGCTCACCACCTGCCACCTGGGCTCCGGGCAGAGACAAGGTCACCTGAGGCACCTGGACCCTGTAGCCTGCCGTGTCTTCTGCCGAAAGGACCGCGCTCTTGACCTCCTGCCCTGAGGTGGCGCCCAGGCCCATCTCACTGAAGTTGGTCAGCTCCACCTGGGGCAGGGAGATGCCCAGGGGCATCCTCAGGGCCCCCTCCCGGCCCTCAGGGCCTGTCTGCCTGGTCGCGGACACTTGCAGGCTTGGCAACCGTGCCCCACTGACGGCCGCCCCGCCTTCCGCCCCCACTTCCCCCTGGGCCCCCAGCGTGACCAGCTCCACCTCGGGGATCTTAAGCTGACCAGCCACAAACTCTGCCTTTTCCCCGGGGCTGACACGCTCACCCTGGATTTCTACCTCCTTCCCTCGAGCCAGCCCAAAGGAGGGCATCTTCAGTTTGGGCATCTTCACCCTCCCGTCCCAACCCCAGCCCTTGCCGTCCAGCTCAGCCGCCCCGGGCACCAGTTCTCCCGCCTCCGTGTCCCGGACCCTGACCCCAAACTTGGGCAGGGTGAGCCTGGGCCCCTTGAGCTTTAAATCAGCCCCTGCCACCTCCGCCTTGCCTGTGGGCAGATGGGCATCCAGGCTGAGCTGCGGGATGGACAGATCGAGGGCCGGCAGCAGGCCTGCCTCCCCCGCCGCCCCTTTAGCTTCAGCCTCAGTTCCCACCCGAGCCTTGGGGAGTGAGATGGCGAACTTCGACACCTTCAGCTTGGGGGCTCGCCCGGCCCCCTCGGCCTCTGCCTTGGCCACCTTTGGCCCCGAGAGTCCAAACTTGGGCAGGGAGAACTTGGAGGTAGGTCTGACCTTCATCTCCATCACCTCTGCCCGCCCTTCCTCGCCTTCCACCGTGGGCAGCTGTGGAGTGACGAGCTCAACAGAGGGCACCCGGAAGGCCCCTTCCCCGGCCCCTGCTGCCACCTTGCCTTCTGCCCAGTCCACCTTGCCCGCTTTGGCCTCTGGGACCTGCCCCTCCAGGCTGAGTCCCCTTGGCAGGTCCAGCTCCACCGAGGGCAGCGTGAGCGAGGGGACACCCACCTGTGCCTCGCGGTCCACCTCTGGCTGCAGACAGGGAAGTGTCACCAGCTTCCCTGAAACTTCAGCCCTTTCCTCGCCTGGCTTGCCTCTTGACGGGGACACTGCCCTCCCCAGCTTGGGCAGGGTCATCTTGGGCATCTTGAAGCCAAATTCCATCCCCTCTGCCTTCTCTGCTCTGCCAGCTTTGGGCTGCACCTCTGGGGCCTTGGGCAGCTTCACTTCGGGTGCTTTCAGAAGCTGCACCTCTGGGACCTTCGGCACCTGCATTTCCGGCAGTCGCATCTCTGACACTTTGGGCAGCTGCACCTCCGGGAGGGGCACATCGGGCACGACCAACTCAGGCACCTTGGGGAGCTTCATCTCTGACACTTTGGGCAGCTGTACCTCCGGGAGGGGCACATCGGGCACAGCCATCTCAGGCACTTTGGGAAGCTTCATGTCTGACACTTTCGGCAGCTGTACCTCCAGGAGGGGCACATCGGGCACGACCAACTCAGGCACCTTGGGGAGCTTCATCTCTGACACTTTGGGCAGCTGCACCTCTGGGAGTCGCACATCAGGCACAGCCATCTCAGGCACCTTGGGGAGCTTCATGTCCGACACTTTGGGCAGCTGCACCTCTGGGAGCGGAACATCGGGCACAGCCATCCCTGGCACCTTGGGGAGCTTCATGTCCGACACTTTGGGCAGCTGCACCTCTGGGAGGGGCACTTCGGGCACGGCCATCCCGGGCACCTTGGGGAGCTTCATGTCCGACACTTTCGGCAGCTGCACCTCTGGGAGCCTCACCTCGGGCACGGCCATCTCAGGCACCTTCGGGAGCTTCATGTCCGGGAGCTTCATCTCTGGCACCTTCGGGGCTTTCGCCTCAGGGACTTTCATCGTGGGGACTTTCATCTCGGGGAGCTTCATCTCAGAGACCTTCGGCAGCTGGACCTCCGGAAGCCGCACCTCGGGCACGACCATCTCCGGCACCTTTGGGAGTTTCATCTCTGGCACTTTTGGAAACGCCATCTCTCGGAGTTGCATTTCTGGAAGGGCTGCCTCGGGCACTTTCGGGAGCTTGACTTCAGGGACCTTGGGCACCTTGACCTCAGGTGCTGAGACCCCGATGCCAAAGGAGGGCATCTTGATGGTGGGCAGCTTCAGCTTGCTCTCCACGGCGGCTTCAGGGGCAGCGGGCCGGGGTTCCAGGAGAGAAAGCCCGAAGGTGGGCATTCGGAGTCTAGGGCCCTTCACCCTGGCCTCAGGGCTGCCCTTGGCCACCTTGACCTCAGCTACTTCCTTTGCTCGAGCCCCGAAGCGGGGGAAACTGAGGCGGGGCATCTTCAGGGCCACCTCAGGCACCTCTTCTCGGGCCTCCACTTCTGTGCCTGGTAAGGCCAGGTCCACCCCCACGGCAGGCGCTGCCACATCCAGCGTGGGAACCGTCAGTGCCGCTGCAGCCCCTTCTCGGGTCTCCAGACAAGGTAGTGTGGGCAGAGTGGGCAGTGAGGGCAAGGCGGGCAGCTCCACTTGGGGAACCTGAATCCCTACGGCCGCAGGCTCCACAGCAGGTGCAGCAGGGGCTCCCAGCCCAAAGGTTGGCAGGTGCAGGGCAAAGCCAGCGGCTGCTTCTGCTGCTGGGGCCCCCTCTCCCCGTCCCTTGGGGGCTGGGACCTGGGGGACACCCACCTCTGTGCTTGGCAGCCTTGGCCCAACCAGCTCCACCTGGGGTGCTGTGAAACGAGCCCCTGCCGCCACCTCAGCTTCTGCTTTGGCCTTCCGGGGGGGAGGAGCGGTGGCTGCCAGCAGGGCTGCCTGGGCCCCTTCGGCCACTTCTCGGACTCGCAACCGAGGTAGCTGGAGGCGCCGGCGGGTGGGAGCGGCTGGGACAGGACCCTTGGCAGCCTCGGTTTTGGGGCCCCGACGCAGACGGGAGAACTTGGGGAAGGAGAATTCGACGTCAACAGGGGCCAAGTCTGCAGGGGCCCCCAGGGCCCCAGGCACCACCATCTTCTTCTTCTTCACGGGGGACAGACTCTGGATGTTCTGGGGAGAGAGGAGAGAGGCAGCAGGCGGTGGGACAGTGGGAGGCCTGGGGTGGACAGGGGGGCCCCGCTGGCACTGGACCGGGTTGGGGTGTGATGGGTTGAACATCTGGCCCCCAAAACAGCCAGGCCCACTCCTGCCCGTCAGGTCATTACACTGCCCCTGAAGGCAGGGACATCTGTTTGGGATCTTACAGTGAAAAAGGAATCTGGAGACTCAGGATTTTCCTAAATACCCTCATTCTAGAGATGAGGACATTGAAGCCTAAGGAAGGAGAGGAGCTTGACCAGGGTCACTCAGCATAAGTGGGAAGCAATCAGGCTGAACCTGGCACCCTGATGGGGAGCCCCCTGGTTCAGGACCCCTAGTGAGCCTGGAGCTGAAGGTGACGATGCCTCTCCAAAGCGGGTGAGGTCCCCAGCCTGAGTGGGTCTCCCTCCCCAGGGAGGAGTTTAGGGGCACAGAACAGGAGGTAAAGGCTGGGATTAGGGTTGAGTTAGTGACAAGACAGAGAGCAGGGCTGGCCGGAAGCTAAGGGAGCAGGGTTCATGGCCCGGTGACAGGCTCACTGGGGCAGTCTGGCGCCAGGGCCGGGCTAAGCACGCGTACCAGCTTGGCCACCTTGGCCCGTGGGCCCTTGATCTCGTAGCCAGACACGGTCCCAGGCCTCAGGGCCAGATCCCCGGTGGGCACAGTGCGCTTCAGACAGAAGGAGACCTTGTAAGGCTCGGCGCATTGCAGCAGACGTAATGCGTCCTCGTACTTGAAGTTCTCAAAGAACACGCGGGCGCTGAGCAGCTGGTCCCCTGCAGGCGAGGTGGAGGTGAGGGGGCAGGGCAAGGGCGCCTCCGGCTCCACCCAGGCCTGGCCCCTCCCACTTCAAGGAGCTGGCACGGCGAGACCACACCCCAAATTTTATCCGCCCCCCCTTGTCCTCAGGCGCAGGATTAAAACAGAGTTCCTCCCAGTTTGAAGCTGAAACATGGAAGGAAGCCCCGCTCTATGGCCTTAGCTCTGCCTTCCCCACTGAACAAATCCAAACCCACTCAGGCCACGCCTGTGTTCTTTCCACTCCCCTCCCCCATCCTCACATTTCACACCCTAACCAAAAAGAAAATACAGTTACACTTTGTATTAACAACAGTCTCTTCATCTTTTGCCAAGTTTAAAAATGTATACAGAGCTGTGAAGGGTGGGGACATGGGACTGTCAGGAAACTGTTCTGGGGAAGAGGGCTGGGCATCGGAATCCGTGGCTGAATCCTGGGGTCCCCCAGCCCCTCTCCCACACCCCCGTTTGTGGGACATCTGTCTACAGGGTTCAGGGTCCAGGTCCCTAGCATTTAGAAGGCATGGCTGTTTGGAGAAGAGCTAGACTAGGCGGGAGAAGGGTTGGTCAAGAGGCGGAGTGCTGGGGAGCCGAGACCAGGGACCTGGGCTGGGTGTCAGGGGGAGACAGCACCCACCCCTCACTCAAGTTTGGCACCAGCAACCCACAAAATGCTGGCAGAGAAGGATTCTCTCCTCCACCGGGGTCCCTTAAAACCCTTCCTGACATGGTCCTTTTCCCTGCAGGCTCAGGTCCCCTCTAGGCAGTCACCTGACACATGTCCCCAAACTCTTCCTGCCGGTTTCTACCCAGCTCTTGTCCCAGCTTTTGTCCCTCCATCTGCGCCTCAGCACAGCTGACACCATTCTGCCCCCAACCTGTCCCACGAAGCTTTTCTCCCCTGTTCTCCCTTCACTCCTCTACCACTCCTGTCGCTCAGTCCTGGCAACTTAGGGAAGGGGGCACAGGTCAAAAAAGGAAATGGGCACCTGAGGGGAGAAGCTGCTCAGGTTTTGCTTGCTCTACCGAGAAAACAGAACCAGAAGAGAACTTCCAGAAGCTCTCACCCCGGCACTCTCCACCTGTTCATAGAGATGAACTGTCCCAGTGCTGGCTCGGGCCAATTCCCCCCAGCAATTCTCCCCTTCCCCCACACCACTGATGTGTCCCTCTAACACACTGTTCCCATCAGCATACAACGTATCCTTGTGTCGTACATACAAAAGGTTGCCTTGGTATCACTCCACCTGGAGATCCCACCCCATGTATCTCTTTGCCTTAATGGCGAAACGCATGGAGTTGTCCAGCTGCATTGTTTCTGCTTCTTCCGTCACACTTCTGACACCCCAGCCCGGAACCCTGAACTGCTCCTCTCACGTCTCACACAGTGACACCCGTACAGCTCAGCCCAATGGTCAAGTCCCACACTGGGTCTCCTCAGCCTGTGGCCAAATTTCACTCTCTCCTTCATCTACTTGGTTGGCTGGCCTTCCGGGGTGCCACGTGCTCTGGAACCTGTTGCCACGGCTCCTCCCTACCCTCCTGACCTCCTAAACACACACTGACCCAGAGCTCAGGCTTCAGACCCCTTGTCTTCTCCACCCATGTGCTTGACTCACCCTTTTGAGAAGCTCATCCAGATGTAAAAGTTTATTTCACATACCCCCAACTGGGGACCTGGCCTGAAACCTAAGCATGTTCCCTGACCAGGAGTCGAACCAGCAACCCTTTGATTCACAAGCCAGCATTCAATCCACTGAGCCACACCAGCCAGGGCCAGACTTAGGAGTTTAAAGTTCATAAATATGCTGACAGCTCCCAAGTGTATCATCTCTCTAGCCCAGCACTCTCTCCTCCATCCTGGTCTTATATATCCAACTGCCCGGGCACATCTGCATCTCGATGGCCAACAGACACTCCTCATTTAACAAATCCAAACTGTTCTCCTGGTCTTCCTCCAGACAAGCTGCAGGCCCGGTATTCTCCATTTGCCAGACCACCATCCTCCTTGACTCCTCTCTTTCCATCACACCCTATATCCACCCAGTCCTGAAGGCTCCTCCTTCAGAATAAATCCAGAATCCAAACTCTTCTCTTCACCTCCAGTGACATCGCTCTGGCCCAAGCATTACCATCTCTTACCTGGGCAACCACAGCAGACTCTTTGTTGGCCTCCTTACTCCTCACCCCCCCCCCCAGTCTGCTGCTAATACAGTAGTTCAACATGGTTAATATTCCTCCACTCACAACTGTCCCAGATTAAAAGCCAAAGTCCTCACCATGGCCTACAAAGTCCTCCAAAAACATCCCTCTTGCCTCACTGGCCTCATCTCTTACTCTCCTTGTCCCTGACTCTTCCATCCACACTGGCTTCCTTGCTGTCCTTCTAACAAGCCAGGTACACTCCCACCTCGGGGTGCTTGCACTGGATCCTCTTCCAGATGACCACATGGCTCCTCCTCTTACATCCTTCAGGCCTCTCCTCCCTTCTTGGCTCACCCTATTTAAAAATTCAGCTCCCCGGTCCTGGTCGGGTAGGTCAGATAGTTAGAGTGTTGACCAGGTATGTCAAGGTTGCAGGTTCAATCTCCACTCAGGGAACATGCAAGAGTCAACCACTGCATGCATAAATAAGTGGAACAACAAATTGACGTTTCTCTCTCTCTCTCTTCCCTCTTCTCTCTAAGAAAATCAGTAAAAAAAACCCACCACCAACAAAACAGCTTCCCTAGCATCTGTAGTACATATTATTGCCTTCTACCTTATTATATGTTTTACATATTTTTGCCCCACTGCTGTAAGTTTTATAAGTGCAGAGTGTTATCTGTTCTGTTCATTGCAGTAGCTCAAGAACCTACAATAAGTAGAAGGCCCTTAGTAATAGCTGTTGCATGACTCAATCACATCGGTTTTATCCACGTTACCTAAGACATCCCTTACTAAGCTCCTTTTCCCACTAGCTCCAGGTTTTTTAACCCCACCTCTTTTCTCCAGCCCAAACAACAAAAACAGTAACTAGCACTTACATAGCGCTTACTATGTGCCACTTAGCTGCGCTAAGTGTTTTCAAATGCTGACTCATTTAATCCACATAATAACCCCATGAGGTAAGTACCAGAATCCATTTTAGAGATGAGGAGACAGAGGCACAAAAAGAGCACAAACTAGTAAACTGCAGCTATGAGATGATGAAGCTCCGCAGGCCACTCTGAGCAACTACCAGTCCAACATACGAAGCCCCTACCCAAGCCCTTCGCCTCCCTCTAGGTCGCGGGCCACGCAAGGGAACCCGGGCAGTTTCCTAACCCCGCCCCCGCGTGAGGTCCCGCCCCGCCTCGCCTCCCGGCCCCGCCCACCTTCCTGCAGGCTGAGGCTCCTAGCAGCTGGCGAGTCCTCCCGCAGTTCACGAATGTAGATTCCTTCCTTTCCGCCACCAGCTACGTTGATACCACTGACCCCAGTCTGCGCCTCCGTCTCCACGATGATCTCCACCAACTCCGCCCTCCTCAGCTCCTGTGGAGGGTGGTGAGAAGTCGCCACGGACGCTAGGACCAGACCTCACCCAGAGCCCGCCATCGCGCTTAAAAGCGTCTCTTAAACCGGTCCTTAGAGCACATGCCCTTCTGCGAGGCTCAGGCAGGTCCTGCGGGCCCACCCACTCCGACATATCCCCTTTAAGGAAGCGCTAGGGCAGCTTGCTCAGGGGGGTCCGCAGAAGGGTTCAACGGCTGTTCAGGATCGAAGTTCTTCTGAAGTCCCGGGGGGCGAGGCAGGACAAGGATAGCTAGCTACAGGGACCCTGAGTTGTGGCTGAGAGGAGGGGCAGATAGAGAGGGCGGAGCTGTGTTTTCCATAGGGCGTGGCCAGTTCTGGGGCTAGGGGTGTGGAGCTCAGTTTGAGAGCACGAGTGGGCAGAGCTCACAGGCCACAGCAAAGGGACCAAAGAAATGAGAGGGGTATGGTTAGATTGTGACTCTGTGTGGACCCAGAGTCTCAGGAGCAATGGGGAGGGGCTTTAATAACAGCAGAACAGGAGTAGGGGTGAGGACGCGGGATTCTGAATGAGAGGCCAGATCCTTAAGTGGTGCGGAATAGAGGTGCGGAATGGAGGCGCGGGGGTGGGACCGGCCTCCTGGAAAGCTTGAATGTGTGTGAGACTGTGCCCTATTGTGGGTTCTTATGACCCCAAGACCTGCAGAATGCCCATGGGAGAGGGAGTCCGGGGAAAGGGGGGTGCATGGGTAATGAATAGTGGACCAGCAGACTTGGTACTGCTGGTGTTTACTGTCAAAGGTGCTGACCTGCTTCTGGGCTCCCTGCGCTCTGGGATTCACATCTGGGCTTCCCAGAAGAGGCAGTGAGAGACGTCAGTTCCACTACTGTCTAGGAACCCCGTCTGCTGTGTGTCTCAGGGGGAGAACTTTGCCCTCTCTGGTCTGTTTCCCTACCATAGAGTTGGGTAACGCGGTTGTACCGGAAGGAGTCTCTGACTGTGAGCTGAGACCTGAGGCAACAGGCACCCAAGAGGATGCTGTATTGGGCAAGGCATCTAGGCTGCTGGCAGAAACTGGAGCTGAGCCCAGAGCTGGGGGAGGGACAAGCAGGTCTGGGCAGATGCCACCCAGCAGTGGTCCTGGGACTAGAGGGCTGGGCAGAGAAGGGGTAAGAAGAGTTGTGATAGCGACAGCAGGGCACCCCGGGCTCCCCATTTTTTGTGCAGCACCGCATTTCATCCTCCCCACATCTTGCACTGTCACAGATGGGAATACGAAGGTCCAGAGAGGTGAAGGGACTTGCCTCATGTCACACAGCAAGTTAAGCCACTGGGCCTTAGCCTCAGGTCTGTGACCTCAGCGCCCATAGACTGTTCTGCAGGCAGTGACCTGCGTTCACTTTACACCCCCTACCTGCCGCCGCCTCGCACCCAGCTTGGCTACTGTAAAAGTAGATCCCCTGTGTACCTGGCGTCCCGCAGAATGCAGTCAATGCCAGGGCTCTATCTCCCTAACAGTGACAGCAGCCCACAGTCACTTCCTAGGCACCAGGTCCTGTGCAAATATCTCATGCGAGTCCTCCACACCCCTCAGAAGTGGGGGTCGTGCCCCATTTTACCGATGGAGAAGCAGGTTAGAGAGATCAGGTCGCCTGTTCAGGGCTGCACATCTGAAGTGGTAGGGTTGGAATTGAAGCCCAAAGGTCCAAAGCCCATGTCCTCAACCCTTGCACCACCTTGCTGCTCCCAATAATGGGCTTCTGCTCAATTTTCTTCAGCTCGTTAGTAATATAACTCCATTCTGCTCCAATGAATTAGCTGCTTTGAATCTTAGTCTGTGCCAGGCACTGTGCTAAGCACTTTACATATGTCCACTTTTCCCCTCACCCCGACCCATAAAATAAGCCCTGTTGCTATTTCCATTTCTCACATGGGGAGACTGAGGCACAGAGAAGCCAGGAACAGTCTCCTCGCTGCCCTAGTCTGTACCTCCCACCCAGGCCTCACAAGTGTCCCTTGGAGGACATGTGTGTACTCACCTCGGCGCTCCGGCTCCTGACCTCCATGGTGCTGCTGGGAGTCCCCTGGGCACCAGGCTCCTGCTTTCTCTCTCCCTTCTGCTGCAGGACCAACTTCAATTCTGCATGGAGCAGCTGCCTCTGAGCCTGCAGGGGACAGGATGGAGGCTTGAGGCCAGGAGACGATGAGGTGAGGAGGCTGGGCTTAGAGGGAGAGGAAAAGGTGGTATCAGATTCGGAGAAGGGCCGCCCCCAGCTGTGCTCTCACCGCTGCCTGGGCGCAGGCACCACCTCCTAACAGGAGCCCAGCCTGGGGTGCTGAATAGTTGTCTGCGGGACTTGAACCCTTCCTCTGGGGTCTTGCTGCCTGCAGAGGAGACAAAAGGACATGAGGCTCCAGGCAAGCCAAGGAGGGGCAGGGAGGGGCAGGGAGGGGCAGGGAGGGGCAGGGAGGGGCTTGTGGCACCAGCCCCTGCTCACCTCAGAGTCACCTCCAGCTCCTTGGGCCTCCTGGGTCTGGGCCTCTGAGAAGAATAACGTGAGCATTATCATCAGCTAGCACCACTGATGGCTTCCTGAGTGCCTGATCCTTACTGCACTCTGTCAGCCTCTATCCCCACAGTGCAGGTGGGGAAACTGAGACTCAGAAGACCTTTACCCAAGGTGACACAGTCAGCCAACCAACAGCAAAGCCAGAACTGACTGCTAGGCCTGCCCAACAGCAGAGTCCCAAACACCTCGGTGGACTAAGTTGAGCCGGATTCACTATGAAATAATTATAACTATCCCATGTACTTCCTGTGGGCAAATCACCTCACTTCTCTATGCCTCAGTTTCCTCATCTATAAATAATGGAGAGAATGAGAGTACCTCCCTCACAGGGTTGTTGCAAAGGTCAAATGCGGTACTAAATATAAAGTACCCAGCAACCCTGGCTGGTGTGGCCCAGTGGATTCAATGCCAGCCTGTGAACTGAAAGGTCACTGGTTCAATTCCCAGTCCAGGCACATGCCTGGGTTGTGGGCCAGGTCCATGGTTGGAGGTGTGCAAGAGGAAACTGATCAATGTTTCTCTCCCCCCTTCCCCTCTCTAAAAATAAAGTTTTTTTTAATGCAGTTCTTTGTCCCCCTAAAGATTTTATTTATTTATTTATTTTTAGACAGAGGGGAAGGGAGGGAGGAAAAGAGGGAGAGAAACATCAATGTGTGGTTGCCTCTTGAGCACCCCCTACTGGGGACCTGGCCTGCCACCCAGGTCTGTGTCCTGACTGGGAATTGAACCGGTGACTGTTCAGTTCACAGGCTGGCACTCACTCCACTGAGGCATACCAGCCCAGGCATAAAGTTTTTTGTTTTGTTTTTTTAAAATAAAGTGTCGGGCACATGGAAGTCACTTCATAAGCGTTTGCTGTTATTATTAAGAAATTCTGTGGTCTTGTGAAATGCCCCACAGGGGTTATATAGCACACGGACCTCAGAACATCCTTATGAGGTCAATACAATTATTGAGCCCATGACAAAGAAGAAATCTGAGGCCGAGTCACACACTTGAACTCGTCTGAAAGCTCCAGGCTCTTATACGGATAATAACTAATGAGTATGGAGTGGTCACTCTTTGCTACTCGTAGGCTAGGACCTCTCCTTCCTGCCTCACTGCAGAAAACCCTGGCCCCTCAGAGGCCAAGAGCCTTGCTTCAGGTCGCATAACACAGCAAGGAGGAGACCGAGCCGGACTGGCATGTGGCCCCCCATAGGCTCCCCTGGGGCAAAGGTGGCGGACCTTGTGCCCCCACCCCCAGCCTCCCCTTGCCTTCCCAGCCCCCACCTGGCATGCCAACATGCCAACCCCACTCCCGAGGGAAAGGTCAGGCCTCACGCGGCACATTCCCTCAGACAATGGCCCGTCTGCTGTGCCCAGTCACATTCCGCCCCTGCCCACCCACCCCCAGCTGCACAATGGTCCTTCATAGCCCACCACTGGCCAGGGGAGAGGACACGGGGACCCCCTCAATGTTGCAGTTGTACCCACTCCACTGGCTGGCCCCCCACCATGTCAGAGGGCTTCTCTCTGGCTCTCCTAGGAGTTCTGGTCTCTGTGTCCTCCCCCAGCCTCCCCTCTGAGCCCCTCGCCCGCAGTAGGTTGGCTTCCACATCTGGGCATCTGCTCTGAACTGGGCTCTGTACTGGCACCCACAGACCTCGTCATCACCCTGGGTGGGGCGGCTATTTTAGGGTTGCAAACTGAGGCTCAGAGAGGGGAAGTGACCTGTCTGGGGTCACACAGCTAGGATATGTACCCTTGACCCCAACTCTGTACCTTAACTTGTATTGGTGGCTCTGAGCACTGGAGGAGGCCCAAGGAGCAAAGCAGCTGGGGCGGGAGTGGGCCTGGGCAGGGGCAGAAAAGGAGGATTGTGAAGGTGCCGGGAATGGGCACTTTTAGAGGGACCTCTGTGCTGCCAACCCTGGGCCGGGCAGGCTCATTATAGACATGGCCTCGGGGACAGCCACGGCCTCATGGCCTCCCATTGTACTGGTGAGCAAATGAGGGTTGAGAAGATATTACAGTGACAAAGTCGGGACTTGAACTTGAAGCTAACTCTGGGTTCCTGGTGCAACATGACATCCTGAGTCGGGGATGGGAGAAGCTTGGTCCATGTAGGAGGCAATGCAGGTGGAGGAAAGGCTCACCGGCTCACAAGCTCCCTTCTCCAGTCCGGGCATGAAGGTCACACCCAGAGGCTGGCACAGGAAGCTCAGCAGGGGTGGGGGCAAGAGACTGCCCTCCTCCTTCATCCCTGCCCGGGACAGCTGCCCGTCCAGGTTATATTTAGCCCAGCTGTGCCCTTCCTGAGCCACGTTCCCACCCCCTGGGGTGGGGTGGGGTGGGGGCAGCTTCGGAAGGAAGCCCACCCCACCCCGGGAGCTCTCTGTTCCCAGCTCTGCCCATCCTACTAAACAGGGGAAGACAGGGTAGGGAGTTTCCTGGGGGGATCCCTGACTTGTGTTAGAGGAAGATCTAACGGGGCTCCCGCAGTGAGTCAAGGCAGGGCCGGACCCTCCACGTGCCAACAGCCATTTTTCGAGCAGGTCCTCCAGTGCCGCCTGGTACATTCCTGAGCTTCCTGAGTCCCCATTTCTGGAGCACTTAACTATGTGCAGAGATCCTTCTCTGCCCTGGCTCCTTAAGTCCTCACAACACCTGCGCGGGGAAGGCACAACCTGAATGGCCATTTAAGATGCCACTCATGCTTTCAGAGCAGCTGGGGGGAGGGGCGGTGAGGCCGGTTTGCTGGGAGTCCCCCAGCTCTGCCCTGCAGGCCCTGTTACCCCTGTGGCTGGCGCCAACCTTATTTAGGAATTCTCCCCACTCGGAGCCTCTGCTTCCCTAGCTCCCAGAGACCGGGTGCCCTCAGCAACGGGAGTGGGGGTGTTGACCTGACCCCTCCAGGCCCCCGGACTTGACTGGAGGCCGTCTAGGGAGGCGTGCTGGCGGCGGCCTCAGTCAACCCCGCTCCAGCACTGCTCAGCTGGGAACTGGGCACGGCACTGCGTCTCTCAGGGCCTCAGTTTCCTCCTCTGTCAAATGCAGCCAATAATAGTGGTTTTTAAGGATTTGTGAGATAACTGCAGGTGCTTAGAATATTCCCTGCACATAGTAAATGCTCAACTAATGCAAACGAGTCTCTGACAGAACGTGGGGGCTGCGCATCTCAAAGTAGCTCATATCCCACCTTTGCTCACCAGTAGCTCGATGCTCTTCCCTGTGGAAGGGGGACTTTGGGTGAGGAGCAAAATCCAGTTTAGACACGACCTCACACCAGCAGGATCAGCGCTGCCTCCCCAGCACACTATTCCAGGACCAAAACACCTGCTCCCCTCTGACCACCACCCCCCCATCCCGGCACCATGTCCCAGCTCTTTACAGGCAGCATCTCATCTGCTTTCCCATCAGCCCTGTGAGGTGGCCTCCGGCAGCCCATTTTAGAGATGGCAGGGCAGAGGCACAAAGGATGAAGTGTCTTGCCGGAGGCTGCACAGCCAGAGAGATGTTGGGATCGGAAGCCAGGGTCTGGCCCCAAAGTCTGTGCCTTCAACTCCTACCACATGCTGCCTCTTGAGCCCCAAGCAGCCTCCCAAAACCTCCCAGGACCCTGGGTCTCATTCACAGCCTGGCCAGGGAGGGAACTGGCTGGCTGCTCTCTTACCACTGTGGGCCTCCAGACACCTCGAGAGCTCCTGGTCTGTCTGCTCAGCCCCAGCCCCAGGCTGGGGGGGAAAAGGGATGGGGAGGGCGGGGAGGGGGAGACCCCAGTCATTGGCTGCCCAGGCGTGACATCACCAGGGGGTGGGTGGTGGGGAAACAAACATCCCCTCTCCCAGCTACAGTCACTCACAAGCCAGTGGGTGGGGAGCTAAGACACAGCCACTCGCCTGGGGTGACGCTGCCACCGGGAGCCCTGCTCTTGGGATTTGCATGCTGCTCCAGCCCCTTACAAACTGAGCGTCCCACCAGCACCAGTTCCTGGCTTCCAGAAACAAGCACGGCTCTGCTGGTTGTTTCCACGCTCTCTCCCACTTAGTTGGGGTTCAGATCCCAGCTCAGCCACTTCCCTGCTAGGGGATCTTTGGGAAGTCGCCGCGTCTCCTTGGGCCTCAGTTTCTTCATTTCTAAAACAAATAGTCAAAGTGCTCACCTCATGAGGTTGTTGCGAAGGTTAAATGAGTTAAAAGAGGCTAAAAACTTTTAAAAGTGCCTGGCACAGAGTCAGTGCTGCTTAGAACTATTTTTGCCTGATTATCCACACAGATCAGGTGGCCGGCTATCCTGGTCAGGGGTTTTTTGGCCTGAGCGGGCACAGGCGAGTCCCAGTTCTCCGCTTATTGGAGTTGCCATGTGGGAGCCACCTGTCCTGGGCTAAATACTGAGCTGGGCACCGGCAGCTCTGTCCTGGACTCGAGGATGCCAGGTGGGAAAGTTATATCCAGTTTTTAGCTAGGCAGCCAGGAGGTGGTGGAGCTGGGGTTCAACGCCTGTTCCGCTGGACCCCAAAGGTGTGGCAACACTCCATCCCCTTCATGCCACAGACAAGTGGGCCCTGGGTGACACCCACCGGCGCCCACGATCACCGGCAGCAGGTAGCTGGTAGCACTGAAATTTAACCCCGGACCTGCCCACTCCCAACCCAAGGCCATCAGGCCCCACCCTGATGTCCCGGGCCCCGGCCCCCAGCCTTCCCAGACTCACCAGGCCCCGGAGGGCGACACAGGAAGCACAAGTACCCCCACATGCCCCTTGCACCTGCCCGGCTGCTGCCTCAGATGTTCCCAGCTCTCTGAGCCCAGGCCTGGGGCTGGGGCTGCTATGAGGCCAGGGATTACCCCCAAAATGCGTGTCAGCAGCTTCTGCCCCATTGTCCAGCCAGGCGAGGCCACCAGGCCCTCTCCTCAGTCGGTGCCCTCGACCCTCACACCAGCTCAGTGGTCCCTTTGAGGAACCGTCCCCTGACTTCACTGTTTGTTCGGGTCCTACTCCTGAGGGCATAGGGACCAGGACCAGGTTGGCAGCGTCCCAGAATGCTCAGAGCCTCCCTCTTCTCTCCGAAATGCCCCCTGCCCACTCTCAACCGCTGGGAAGGCAGGAATGTGCTGAGCTCTGGGAAAAGTCTTCCAGGCCTGGCAGCCGGCAAGGGTTGGGGTGTGGCCGGAACCCAGCCGGAACCCCCCGCCCGGGAGGAACGGAAGGGACAGCGTGGTTAGGGCTGCTGATGGGTCTCAGGAGACCCTCACCCCAGGGCAGTCTCTCTCCCTCTCATTCATTGATCCATTCAAATATTCGTCTGTTCATGTGCTCATCCAAAAAACATTCACAAGCCCGTGGCGTCAGGCCCTTTGCTGGGCACTAGGGACACGGACAGGCCTGAATTCACTGTGGGGCTGAGGGGCGGGCTCAGGAAGGTCCCTGGAGGAGGAGTCATCTAAAGTCAAACTGACGGGCTGAGAGGAAGGAGCCAGGTAAAAAGATGATGAAGGGGCTTCAGGTGGCGGGACAGACACAGGCAAAGTACCAGAGAGAAGAAGAGAGCAGCCCTTTACCCAATATCAGCAGGCGGCGAGCACCTGGTGTTGTGTGCCCAGCCCCGTGCTGAGCGGTGCGGGGGGCGGGGCGGGGGGCACCGAGTAATCCAGGTAGCTGGGCCTGATTTCTCTGAGTTCGAATTACAACAGGGAGACAGACCCAGGATAGCCAGGGGCTGTGCTGGGAACTCATAGGCAGAGAGTCCAATCAGGGCCTGGATGGGGGACCCAGAAAGATACTTGCTTCAGCCTAGGAAGGGAGGTCAGGGAAGACTTCCTGGAGGAAGGGACATGTGCGCTGAGACTTGAATGAGTCATAGGAACTCGGAGAGGGAAGAGGAAGGGTAACCGTTTTATGAGCAGAAGGAACAGCCTGTGCAAAGCGCCCCAGTCCAAAGAGAGATCGGTCCAAAGGAAATGTCCAGAAGCTGAGAACTGTGCTCTTGTTCACAGTCGTGTCCCGAGGGCAAGCATGCTCCTTCTTTAGCATACCTGGTTTATACATTTATTCACAGCTATTAGCAGGCACCTCCTCTGTGTTCATCTCTGGGCCAAGCGGCACTGGGGACACAGCAGTGACTGAGCCCTCACAAGACTCTCAGTTGAAAGGGGGTAGACATTAAAGGACTGATCAACGGAATCGCTTCTGAATGATTATATTATCACATTCTGAGCTAAGCAACATGAAAGACGGAGTCAGACCGACCTGAGGGGCTTGGCACTCTGGTACTATCAGAAAGGGCAGGGAGGGCTTCCTGGAGGAAGTGACATTTGAGCTGGCATCTGAAGCACACGTCAGGATTCATGCAAGGCTGCAGGCAGTAGATAAATGAGAGTGGGTGTCAGGTGGAGGGAACGGCCTGTGTGCAGGGGCTCTTTTGAGAAACTGGTGAATGCGAGAGCGTGAGGGGACGCTGAGAAGCCGGTCCATGTTCAGCAGGCCATGAGGAGGGGCTGAAAGTTTGTCCCGTGAGCCCTGGGCACCTACAGGAGGGACAAAGTCAGCACTGAGTTTTAAGAGTTTGGGGTGGAAAGAGTCTGACTGCAGGACAAGCGCAGCTGGCGGGAAAGCCCGCCCTGTCCGGCCAGGGTCAGGCAGACAGAGGGGCCTGGTGTGTGCTGCTACCTCGTCTCTCTCTGGGTCTCAGAGGGCAGGTCATCTTGCATCTTCCCATCTCAGGGCACCAAGCATTCAGTCTCTTGCCATTACGTAAGCTGTTAGCCGTTGACTTTGTGTAGCTGCCCTACAGCAGGTGAAGGATGCCCCCGTCCCTAGTTTACAGTGTTTTGTGGCGTGAACGGTGCGTCTCCCTCCCTGCACGCCCCTCTGTGTCTCTGTCTTCCCTCCTTGGCTCTGTCCTCTCTGCATCTCTGCTCACTCCCTCTGTGTCTATTTCTTTCCCTGCGTCTCTTGCTTTCCCTCCACCAAGAGGGTGTGGCCACGGGAAGTTAAGTTTAGGGGTTGGCACCAGTGTCCCGGTTCTGGCCGAGGCCACTTCAGTAAACACAGGACATCCTGCAGCGCTGGGGAAGGAGGTGGAAGCTGCTGCTCAGGGACCACCCTTTCCCCACCCAGTCCGAGTTGAGCAGGAGCCAGGTCCCGCCCGGCACAGCCGAGGGAAACTGTTTTCTCCCTCACCTCTGCCCTTCACGCCTGCTCCTGCCCTGGCCCTCTCACCTGAGCTCCAATCCCGGGCCCAGCTGCTTGGATGCCTTGCGCTCGCATCCCTCTCTGGCCTTGGTGTCAACCTCAGACCTGCTTCTCCTTCTGGCCATCATGCCAGAGTGGCCCCGCCATCCCCCAGTCCCCTGACTAGAGTTCTAAGTCTCATCCTAGGCGCCTCCTCAGTCACAGCTTTTCAGTCCCACAGCCTGTCCTCTCCAGTGTCTCTCCCCCCCTGTCCCCAGGCTGCTCCAGGCCTCCCCTCTTGGCTCCTGGCCTCCAATCTCATCTCACCACCATGTCCACGTGGCAGCCAGAGAGATCCCTTTACTTCTAGATACCTTTACCCTAAAGCCTTGAGGGTGAAGTCCCTCATCAAAAACCTTGGTCCCTGCCCATCCCTCCACCCATCACTGGTCTTACCTCTTTCCCCCTCATTCCCATCAAACTCAGCAACATATAGGTCCCTGAAAAGGTGGTAGGGTAGCTGACCTCTTAAGATTTTATTTATTTATCTTTAGAGGGGAAGGGAAGGAGAGAGGGAGAGAAACATCAATGTATGGTTGCCTCTTGTGCATCCCCTGCTGGGAACTGGCCTGCAACCCAGGCACGTGCCCTGACTGGGAATCTAACCGCGATCCTTTGGTTCGCGCTCAATCCACTGAGCTACACCAGCCAGGGTGCTAACCTGCAAATTCTTGCTCTTGTTGTTCCCTCTTCCTAGAACACTCTTGCCTCAGAACAACAACCCTTTGAGGTAGGTACTGTTACTGTCCCAGCTTAGAGATGAGGACCCTAAAACCCAGAAAAGTTAAATACTTTTCCTAGGGTCACTTCAGATCCCAGAGGACTGGGATAAAGGCTGAGGGCCTGCAGCAGGGGAGCGATGTGGTTAGGCAGGGCCAGGCACCTAAGTAGGTAGTCATAAATCTTTGCTGAATGAGAAGGAAAGAAGGGGGGTAAGGAGGAAGGAAGGGAGGAGAAGACGGCCAAGGACAGGGAAGAAACGCGTGTATCGTGGGGGTCACTGTGGATGCCCCTGGAGGGGAACTGGCCTGGGCAGTGTTGTGGGAACACACAGGGGCTCTGTGAAAGGCGGCAGCAGCGCCAAGGGCTGGCGGCTCAGCGAGGAATGGTGTGGGCCCTGGAATCTGCTGGCTGGGGTAGTGCAGCCTCCCAGGGTTGAGCCTGAGGGCGGAGGGCCACACCAGAACCAGGGAGCCTGGACAATCAATCATCCGGAGGTCAGACTTGGGAAGTGTGGGGCAGGTCCTCAGGCCTGAGCTGTTCATAAACCTTAGGGCACCAGGGTAATGGGATGGGACCAGGGCTGATCTAGCCCACATAGCGCTTTTGTACAAAAGACATGCCCCTTCCCCAAGGTGCTTGATCTCCATTTGCTGGGAAACTATCATAGCAAATATATAAATACATGGTGCCCAAGACATCTGTGATAGTCCCTTATATATGGAACCTCTGCAACTATACCCAGAGGCTCTGGGGAGAGGGGCATCGCTGGGCAAGCAGGCACTGGGGCAGAGGGGAGAATCGCTGAAAGATGGGTTGACTGTCTGCATCAGTAGGTACCACAGATTATTCAAGTTGGCATCAGGAGACGTCGGGAACAGGTCCCTGGGGTTTTATAAACAGAGGGCATAGCTGACGGGGGGACTCCTGAACCACTGGACAGATCTCCAGAACATCCGAGGCAGTGCCATCACAACACCCAGACTGGGCACCAGGGGGCATTGCTGAGCTCTGCCTAAAGTCCCAAGGCCTGGGTCTGGGTCGAAACTGAGTCTGAGTCCCGTTGCGCGGGGGTAGGAGTCAGACACCCGGAAGCCTTTCAGCCTGGGCACCGGCTCCCTTCGGACCATTTCCACTCCCCTCCCGGGTCTCCTCATCCACTTCCAGAAATGGGCACGACTTCCTCTGCTGCTCCAGGAAGCTCCACTCCGCCCGCCCCTTCCCGGCCTGAAGCTGCCGGTCTCCCCCAGTTGCGTCCCCGCTTCGGCCTCCCAGAAGCTACCAGCCAGAGGACCTGCACTGGTGCTCAGCGATCCTGGTTTTCCTTTGTCGTTGTTTCACCCGTTCGAGGCCCAGCCAGCCCCTGGAAGTCACAGTCAGGCCCTCTGCTCCTCCCCCTGCCCCTCCCGCCCACACCTCGAGCACTGCCCTGCCCCCACAGCCGCCAGGAAGGACGCCGCCTGGGTCCCGTGCCAGGGCTCTGAGTGTGCGGCCCCTCCCAGCGGGGCCAGGAATGCGGCTGGACCGCGGGGGCGGCGGGCAGCACAGACACCCGGCACTCAGGCCAGGCGGCCCTGTCACACACGCAGGCAGGTGGCCTCAGCTCGCTGGGGCCTGAATTTCTTCTAGAAGAAAAGCATTCTTTCCTGCCCATTTTGAGATTCGAGACCCGGAATTTTGTTAGAAGTAGCTCGAGTCTCCCGGCCTGTCACCATTTTCCTGGAGACCTGCCTCCCAGTGCTTTGGTGAGGCTCCATCCAGCCTCCAGCTTTGAGCTTTTACTCCTGGCTCATTCTGAAAGCTCCCTTTTGTCCCCA